GGTTGGGCTTACGCCTGATTTTGTATGGAATGTTCGTAACAATACCAACTAAAAGTAGTGGTAGGGCCTAGTTTGAAAATAAGTAAGAATTTTCGGTTGGCATATTATTAAAATACTGTGGTTGGGCTCACGGCAGATTTTTGTGTGGAACTTTTGTTAGGATTCCAACTAAAAGTCGTGGTAGGGCCCAGGTTGAAAATTTGTAGGGCTTTTCAGTTGGGATATGAATGAAAAACTATGATAGGGCCCATATAAAATTTTGGTATGGCATTTAAGATGGCAACCCAACCAAAAATCATAGTAGGTCCTTCGTTGGGTTAACGTGAGAAATATTTGTGAGAAAAAATAACAATAAATGGCAGTAGGGCCATAGTTGGATGTGCGTATGGTATTTTTTCCTGCAATAAAACTGTTGGCAGATAGTTGGAACTTTAGAATAAATCTCACTAACGTTTTCCCAACTTGTTCCCGACCGTATTGCACGGTTGGCCAACCCAAAATGCTACTAGGGTTCTTTCATTATGTCCCCTATTTCCTTCCAAATAATATCTCTTCTTTGTCGATCATCGTAATGAGGATTTTGCAAATCATAAAGTTCTTTGTATTCTTGAACTAAATTAATAAAAAGTTCTTCATTAATTTTTGTGAACACCAAAGGAACACGCAATTACCAAGAAATGCTTGCTATTCGCTGGGTGCGAAGTAGGTGGTGGGAGAACACGAATCGATCGCAGCGCGCACCGTGGCTAAAATGGAAAACTCTGTCGGACGAAATGTCACTTTTTACTTAAGAAATTACATATTTGTGCATTTTAAGCAAAAATTAATTAAATGCGTCACGATACCTGCTGTGTAGTTGGCTGCAAGAACAATGGCAAAAATAGTGATAAATTTTTTTATAGATTTCCTCGAGTGAGTTGGAAATAAGAACAAAATCATTGTAAGTTTGGATTTGGTAAAAAAAAAATATGTAAAATTATTCATAGATTTCTTTTTATAGATGTTTAACTTTTGGATAAGGTTGGTTTTTACAGTCAACGCATACAAAGTGTGTTTTTACAATCAAAGTTCCACTTTTAAAAATGTTTCATATTAATTTATTTATTATTAAACCAGTTTTTTTCAGTCATCTTCGTCATCAATGTTTTCAGCAGTCGGCCATTCCAATATTTTATTCCAAAAACTTATTTTTTCTTCATCTGGTATAAACTGAATGCACTTTTTCAGATCCGCCATCTTTTTTGCATTGATGCAGAGTTGCCTTGTTCCATATGCAGGTTCTTGTGGAAGCAGTGTAACAATATGCGGTCTTATTTTCAACAAAAAAGTGTGCTTTATCATCCCATCAATGAATTCTTGTGCTCTTACAGGAACTCTTTTTGATTGTGAAATGATGGAACTTAGAGATGTTAAAACTCACTTTCTCCTTTCTAGGAGTTTTTTGATCTTTTGTTTCAAGGGATAGAGCAGTCTTTTTGAAATGTTGAACCCACCATTTTTTGAAATCGTGGGTTCAACATTTCAAAAAATCCGACTTTAAGCTGGACTTGACTATTAATTCCACTAGCTCCCGAACAGTGTATAGCCTTTCTTTGAGACGAAGGCTTCTTTTTATAACACCGAATGCTCTATCGCATGGCAAGAAGGAGTGGCCACGCATTGGAAAGATCTGTTGAATTTTTCTGAAACGCCCACTGTCAACAAGGGCCATATTCATCCGTACTGCCGTATTATTTTTATTCTGCCCTGCACAGTTATCAGAAAAGAGCATCAGTTCTTTTACCTTTGGGTCAACATAGTGTTTAATGTATGTCATTATAAACGAAGTCGTTTGGCCCCTTTTTTGCTTGCCCTTCATGATACAAGAACAAAACATTGTTTCCTGTTTTCAAGTTATGAATGCAAAAAACTGAAACGCTCAGTTGTCTCAAGTAAAATATTTCTTGCACTAGTATTATTGGCAGTGACACGGTTTGCATGTAATCGTAGCAAATACCTAAAAATTTATCATCTTCTTGGGATCTTTGCCTCGCTTCTTGGAGTTTATTATAAAACTTCTTGGCTCTTTTTTTGTGTACCAACTTTTCAGCCAAAGCCACCTTTTTAACAACATCATTGAGGGTTTTTGAATTTATTCGTAAATCTAAACTCTCGCAAAGGCAGCATGTATCCACAGCTGGTCATCCAAATCGTAATTGAATATTTTGTTTTAATATTCGTACTTGATCCTAGTTGCAGTGTGTTTTTCTTTAAAAAACCGAAACATTTTCTTCACTGATAAATCAGCAGGCAGGTACTTTATAATGCCAGAAGAGTAGTGGCTTTCTTTTACTGGAAAGCTCGATATATGAGAAATTACTTCAGATATAAGGTCGGTTGGCATAGAGCATTGACAGTTTTCATTTTCCCTCTCTTATCTTCAGGTAATTTTCCCAAAACCAGCAAGTTACGGAGCCTCTTAACTCGATCTTTTGTAACCCCATATATCGCAAGAAAAGCAGAGTGGCAAACCTCTTTCTTTTCATTTCCGATTTGAACACTGTATGTAAACGTTTTCTGCCTCAGCGGATTTTCCTTGTTAACCCGGCGTCGTTTTATGTCTTTACAGGTAATCAAACCTTGCAGGTAGATATCTTGTTCATTTTTTGTTGACATGTCATATAATTTGGTAAGTAAGTCGATTTTGTTATCATCGCTTATGTTTACACAGCATTTTTTGGCACATTTACAGGGTGGTCCTATACTCTTAGCAGCTACAGTTTTATTCTTTGGCGTAATATAAGCCTGTCCATGAATACGAGCTTGCTTAATTTTGTTTCGGGGGTATTCAGCAGAATTATCTCGACTTTTTTTTTGTTCGAACTTCTCCTGGATCGAGAGAAATAACATTCTCCTCGGTTTCAGCACTCATTTTCACTTTATAATGGGAATTGTAATAATTGGACTTCACAAACACGTTTTTAATTGCAGAAAAATAGTACTGAATAAAACAAAGACAAAAACGTCAATTTTAACAGCTGATAGTCAGGTATTGCCATACTTAAATTTGGTTGTAAAAATCCACCTCATCCAGGATAAGATGTGTTCTTACACTCATTGAAATATTCGTATCTATGTTTCTGTGGAATGCTTACATGAACGAAGTGTGTTTTTAAACTCAATCGATGTGTCTTGCCATAGACAATTAAAATCCATCATAAAAAGATTTTCGTAAAATGCGGTCTGAGGTGGGTTTTTACAATCACGCGTTCATATGTGTAAAATGGCTGTATAAATTTGAATTTGGAATTCCCAACCAAGGAAGAGAAATTGTGATTAAAGTGGTTATTTCGATAAAACGCCAATTTCATATGTAAGGACCTAATATAATCTTTGAATGAGGCGGCTGTATCCTGAACTATAACTTCTATCGCCTCCGCTGCTTTTGTGTAGCGTTTACTATTCTTCTTAGGTGGTATGATCATTGGCTCCAGCTTTGTATTATCTCTTGGTCTGAAATTATAAGGGTGGGGCATCATCTGATCGGAAGGTGGGGTTTTATGAGGGGGGAAAGATGGCGAACTAAATGTTCTTATGGGGCGAATTGATGGTGAAGTTAGCTGATCACCTTTTTCTCCTTGAGTGCTAGAGGAAGAAAGAACATCTATAATATTTGTTAATTTCACAGGAAATTAATGTCCGCGTCTCCATCTTCTCTATTGTAAACTTCTTTTAATTGTTTGATCACCTCCGTCAAATGTCCATTCGAATATGATTGTGATTCTAAGAGTCTCTTTGTTTGAAAATCTGCTCCAAGAAAATGCTGGATGAAGTATTTATCATCAATGGCTGCTTGCCCTGACCTTTCCTAAAAAATAATATTCTAGAGAACTTTGCATTCTATTTAAAATTTAGAATTCTTTTTGATCTTGTATTCTACGACCAGTCAATCGTCTATATTATACTTTAGTTCAATTTCCTCAATATTTTTAACACTTTGTATTAGTTTCGCTGTTTTATTATCTCGATTTTTTTCTTTAGTTAATTTCTTTCTCATAGGAAAAGTAATATTTGACAATAAGGTACTTGCGGTAAACAAGGGCCACCTAACTTCAGAAACAAATAATAATACTAATGTGTGATAATAAATAAAAAAATATATATATAATCTGGAGAACATTTATTCTTATAGCAACGTAACTAAGTACAATTTTTGCCAAAGACTGTCTAATTTCGCTTCAAATAAATATTTTTTAAAACCCTTTCTATGGCCCTTATTAAGCATACGTAGTTTAATATGGACCATGATCTTGAGTTAATACTTAACGGAATAAACAAAATATACATAATACTTTTTAGCTCCTTATAGTTTATACTATCATTTGACATGAAATCACATTCATGAATACACATAAATCAACGACAAAAATAGTAATGGACCTTATTGAAATAAAGAAATAAAAAAAGTTAAAAACCATATTGCCTAACAACATATTATTAGAATTTTCATATCTCTCAACAAAGTATAATTTCCTTTAAATAAATCTTTGACATATAAAAAAAAAGAAAGACAAAAAAATATCAACAAATTCTGTGGACCTTATTAAACTTATGGTAAATTAAAACTTGTCTCACCTATCACATTCAGTGTGTTTTTCTTAATAATTACCTACCAGTGACGCAATCTAAGAAAACTCAACTAAGCAACCTCAATTAAACCACATCTATAACAATGTTATTCTAGTACGTAAACAAGTACAGCACAGTAAAAAATATAACGTAAATTTAAATGTTAATCAGTCTTCTAGTAGGAATAAATTATATCTTAAATATTTTTTGTCATAATACATATTTTTATCATCAATAATTGATGATTTGGAAATTGAAATGGATGTTGGATGTCCAATGTGCAATTAATTAGGATTAGTTGCACATTGGACATTCAAAATCCACATCCTCTTTCGTTGAGCCCAAGCATTCTTCGTGGAACCATTTAATGCATGAAAAACATTTTCGCATTACTAAAAACCGCTCTTTTTTTTTTCTTCATCTACTGTGTTGTGATTTTCTTTTGTTTTTTCATTGTAAACTTTTTTTTTCTTTTGGTTCTTCTTAATTCCATTATTAGATGCTTTTTGGTTCCTTTGGCGTTCTTTTTTATTTTCTCTGTCAGTAAATATATCCTTTGTTATTATGCGGCCTTTATAATTGATTGCTTTGCGCCTTGGTTTTTGTTTTATGACGGCATAGGTTGGTGTAGGCAATAATTTTTGAAATGGGGTTTTAAGACTCTTTTTGATTCTCAGTCTTTCTAATGGAATATTGTAATCCGAGTCGTCGTCGTCACTTGTTTCAGAGCCTTGCGTTTTTACATTAACATTGTTGTGACACGAGGTCCTAATTTGTTTGATAGGAGTACCTTGATCTTGTGGCAATGATAGCTGATATTCATTTTCATCTTCAGATAAATTGTATACATTTAAAGCCTGCTCTGCAACATTTTGTAGTCCATTTTGTACATTTTGTAATGCTTCTTCTTCATAATTATCAGTAATAGAAGTATCTGACTCAGAACTGTGAATTATTGGTCGTCTGATTGTAGCATGAGGCCTGTTTAGTTCAGCTAACACGTTATTGTTTGCAGTGTCAGAGTTGAGCTGTCTGTTGAGCTATAGTCGACTAAACAGTTTTTATTGCTCCTATTCAATTCTGAACTGGTAGAAGAACGTATTTGAGAATCAATCTGAGTCAGCAAAGATGGAGAACTTCTATTAAAGTCTTCAATAAAAGTCTTGTCAGAATCGGAACTATTAAGGCTGGGAATTTGTAATTCACGACGTACGTTTGTTCCGGAAGGACCAGGAGTTGGGGACTTATGTTCAATGATAACTTGCTCTAGAGGCTTTTCAGCGAGCAATGATGGTGCATAAGCTTCAATTGGAATTACGTCTGGGTTATATAGATAGAGTCCTGTAGCCCTAAACCCATTCACTACATTCTCATGGCTCATACATTTCGACCAAACTTTGCTAAAAATTGCATTAAAACGAGCTTTAGTTAATTTTTTATCGGGATGTTGATATAAAAACGACAAAACTTCCTCATCCCAATGATGCTCAAATGATTTATTTACACTCTTATCTAAAGGCTGGAGCTCGTGTGTCATGTTTGATGGTAAACAGTATAAAACTATATTTATATATTTTCTTTATCAGCTGCCTCAACAATTGTATAGTCCAGGTGACAAGAAGCGCCATCAAATACTAGCAAACACTTGTCTCCCGTTTTATATTTTCCTAAGTGATGGATAAAATCAACGAACAATGATGCGGTCATGCTTCCTTTTGGGGCCATTCTTACAATTGATCCTACTGGTAAATTGTCATAAAATTCAGGTTTTGCTCTTTTGCAAAACCTGAATTATATTTCCTCTGCGAGAAATAAATTATCATAGGGGGTATAGCACTTCCTAAGGCATTTACACAAGCTACAACAGTCACGTTTTCAGCGTGTTCTGGAGCAACCATATGCATCCTCTTAGATCCTTTTTTTGTTAACACCACGGGCTGATTGTGTATTGTCAATCTACAACCTTTCTCGTCCATATTGAACAAGCGCTCGGGTTTGTTGTTGATATTTAGCTCTTCATAAATTTTTCTGTACTCTTCAAAATGCTGCATTCATTATCATCAGCCTTTTACGTCCCCACTGCAGGGGCTCAGGCCTTCCTTATGGATGGCTAAGGAGTATGGGCCATGACCCTCCACGCTGGCCTAATGCGGATTGAAGGGTATTGACGACTGCAAATGCAGCCGGGACCAACGGCTTAACGTGCCTTATTAAATATTCACACAATATTCTTATTTAATTTTTGAGCCCTACCTGGATTCAAAATTTGTACTTTGCGTTATGATATATCGGGGTGCTTGTTTAAAAAGAGTTTTAGCTAGTCTTTCTCAGCTCGCTTTGAGGATTTATTAAAGTTATTAGGAATATCGTTTTGTTCACAAAAAATGTACGCCTAATGTCGTATACGACTGCAAGTCGTTTGATTTCGTATGCTAGATCACTTTTTTGCTCTGCGGTCAAAACTGTGCGACGGCCTATTTGTTTTTCTATTTTTTCGGATCTCAGATGGTTTAACAAAGTTCTTCTGGGAATTGAATATCGTGCGGCCGCTGCCCGTTGTGACAACCGTCCCTCGTTAACAGCTGCCATTGCAGTTTCTTATTGTTGTAAGGACCAAAGTCCGCGAACTTTCTTGGCAGGAGGCTCCATGAGTGCGATCTAAAAACAATATAAAATCCTTCAAATAATAGAATAACAATAAAGAAATTTAAACATAAGCTGTACAGTTTGCACACTAGCGCCACCAATGCAGTTTTATTAATTGTAATGATTTTATTACATTGAGACATAAAATCTGTCTGGGGTGTACTGCGCCACCAATGCAGTTTTATTAATTGTAATGATTTTAATACATTGAGACATAAAATCTGTCTGGAGTGTACTGTGTAAGAGTCATAAACAAAATAAACTTTTATTATTCAAAGTGCACATTCAAAGGTTTAATAAGGGCCGGCCCCTTTACCCGCCTTTCCTCTGGCTCTTATTAGACTTTGGTACTCATGTTACTCGATCGGATATAGAATACACTAAATGAATAAAATCTTTTGAAGTTACCCCGCTTTAGCATCAATTAAACTGTAAGGTTTACTTTGTGACACCGATTTTTATAAACGACACTATATTTCACTCACAATTTCGTTGCAAAAATTACTATTAAGTGACATAGACCAACTCTCTCAATGGCGACGCGACTACTGGCAAGATGGCGGATCGCGCGAGACGTATGCGTTGGCGTATTTAAGCCTTCCTGTTTGTCCTTTACATGTGTGTGTAAGTAAACTGAAATCAAACCGTTAGAAGTATATTATTGTGTCAGTGGCCCTTGATAAACATCTGCTCTTGATACCCGCAGGTACCTTATACAATACTTTTTGAGCCTCGATATATCAATTATATCTTCAGCAAAAGATCTTTTGTCTTTTTTTCGGAAAGCTTTGTATTTTTCTGATACTCCTCGACAAACTGTTTCATTAAACAAAAACTTATTTTATACTTCTCGTACCTTCTCATTATTTATGTCTTTTATGACTTCATCTGCTTTCTATTCTGTGGTATTTTGAAGCTTATCTTTTATAACTTCCGCTCCATAAACAAATGTCTTCTTAAAATCGCCTTTTCTTTTTTATTTGTCAATTTTATTCTGTAAAATTGTTATTGTTTTTTTAGATCTGTATTTACAGCTTGAAGTAATGGTTTTTTATGCACTAAATGTGACTTCGATGTACTTCGGCTTGATGTGGATTCTTCTTGTAACATAAAAGGGTCGTGTATGAGTATTGTAGGATCTGGCATGTTTATAATTTCCTCAGTTTCACTATTGGGTTGATAGTTATCTAAATATCATTTTGATATCATTATCATTATTTAAATATCATTTTGAGTTATTTCACTGAACATTTCACGAAACCTTCTTTATGAATTAGGTACCTACCTACTCCGTTCATTCAATAGATTTTCAGTATAATGCAAACAAGCAGAGAGGGAGACAGAAAGAAAGAAGCAGCGGGGAATTATTTAACTAATAAGTACTTAGGTAAGTTACAAAATGCACAGAATTAATTTAAAGTTAGTTCAATTATACTGACAAATACTTACACAAGTTATAATTTGATATAATCAAAATAATAGAATAACAAACAGAATAGGTACATATTAATATTATATTTAAAAAAAATCATTACCCTCCAAAGTTATTAATTCCCCTCCGTTAAAAAATTGGAGGGAATGGAAGGGATGACACGGAAAGGAATGAAGTTTCAGCAGATTTCCTGTATTTATTCACGAATAAATAAAGGCTAGATCTTCATAGTTAATTGATAACTAGACCCTACAGTATGTTAATACTAGGGATGGGCCGAAGTTCGTTTCACATTCGATTTAACCGAAATTCGGCAGGTTTACACGGAAAAATTATTCTGGTATGTGTAACGATATTCTGGTTACCATTACAATATTTATTGCTCTATATGTGACGACCACTCGTATCGTAAGCGTTACACAATGATTCTAGTTAAACATGAATTGTAGTTGTCACATTGTTATTGTTAATTTTACTATTTAATTTTTCAGGTCTACAATCCTTTTTTGTCCTACCAACAAGAAAGTTTGTGTTGTTAATCAAAAGTTTTGTAAATAACATATAAACGTTTAATTAAATTTACTGAATATCATCGATAAATTTACTACAAAAAAAATTACTAATACGATTTGTTGTGTACCTCTGACAAATATTGTATTATAAATGGATACGTTCACATTACAAAATGACTTGTTATGACAACGATACAGTATTGTGTAGGTAACTTCTTATTTTGTAAATGGACCAGGAAAAGTAGTTGGCTTATTCCACGGGAACTGTCGGTAAAGACGTGATTGCTTAAAATGTGCTTTTGTTTCTCAAGATTCATTAAGTTTTCCAAGAAATAAAAGCTCTGAACTTTAAGCATTCGCGTCGATACACGACAATTCCCGCAGAAAATGCCAATAAAAGAAAAAAAAACAATAATAAGAATCAACACTTTTATTAATTAAAACGTAGAATCAATTAGAAGTAGCTGATACCCTGTCGGCTTTTTTAAAACAGGGTACTCATTCATGTAGTCAGATACTGTTATATTTTTAGACTCTTCAAGTCTAATCTTGGATGTATTTTTCCTTTTCTCTTCGACTATTTTCCAAGGCTCGCTGGATTTTCTAAGCCACTCAAGGTCTTTATGAATATTTTCTGAAAATATAATATGATTCATGAACTTGGCACCGATAGATTAATGCCTAATGTCCCTGAAGTGGGAACTGGTAGCAAATATCTATACATATAATAAAATTGTAGGAAAGTCAAAACTGTACAGTCGGCCAAGAAAGTGGTCTACCACCCTAAGGTTGAATTTCGCGTGTTACGTCAACTAACAACAAGGTTGATTTTCCGTAGCATTAATTTTTTGACACGTCAAGTACACGTCATTATTGCTATCTTCATCATTTTGACGTAACCTTTGACAGTAATTATCTATACCTATAATAAAAATGTAACAAGGTTACATTTTTAAGATATTTTTTGGAAAAAAAATATATGGACGGCCTTCATAAGACTAATAGAAGCCAAAAATATTTTTTTTTCTGTCTGTCTGTCTGTTTGTATGTTTAAATACTTAAGAGTTAGAATATCGTAAATAAAGTCTTATAGTCTACAAATATCCTACATTAGAATGTAGATTAATTATATTTTAATACAAATAAAAAAAATCAGTAGGTAGTGAAATGCTATGCGTAAGAAGCTATGCGTGTTATAGGTCTGAATATACTGAGATAACGGATAACAGAAATGAATAGCGACGAAAAACATATTGCGCCGACCCATAGCTTAGTGCGAGACAAGGGCTAAAACCAGAAGAGATAGTGAAAATGCTAATTATTTGGTTGTTAAAAAATATATACAATTCTTTTATAAATCTATTTATAAATATACATCTCTGAACCATAAGACCCCACATATTTTCAATAGGGTTGAGATCTGGCGCTTTTGCAGACCATGGTATCAAGTTTATTTCCGGATGTGCATCAAACCAAGCACATGTTACCCTTGCTTTATGTAAGGGACAGTTATCCTGTAAATAATTAAATTGACGCATTTCATTTTCTGGATAAACGTTCCGGAGGGATGGCAACATAGCATTTTGGAGAACATCAACATAATCTGATGCCGTTGCTCGTGGTGGCAAAAAGGTCAAGTCTCCATCACCATCAGCAGTCATCCATCCATACAAATTTACCGAGATACGACCCGATTCTCTATTTGGCACGACATGATTTTGCGTGTATCACGTTTTATTGAATCGCCAAAGGTGTAGACGCCCGTGTTGACTGGATTTAAAAGTTTTCTCGTCACAGAAAACAGTGTTACTCCAATCAAAATCCAAATATTCTATGGCGAAATTTAATCTGGCCATTCTATGAGCGTCAGTCATATAAATTTTCTTTGCATAACGCCTGTGATGTAAGCCCATGTAATGTAAATGGTTTCTAATGGTTTGGAGAGTCACGTCAAATATGTCGGCAAAATAACTCATAACTCCGTCTCATGAAGACTCGCTGAGTATCTGATATTTCAGGTCTACGACCGCTACGACTCCGAGCGTTCAAATTCCCCTCCTCGCTTTCTCGTCTTATCCAAAGACGGACAGCTTGTCTCTATAATCAAAAATAAAATATGAACAGAAAAAATAAAAAAAAAAATTTACACTCGCACTTGGTCTGAGATTTTACATTAAACGTCAGACATAATAATACTTACCGACACATTTAATTCTCTAGAAATCTCACTAATATTCAAACCATCATTGTGTAATGCGATTATTTGTGCTCTTTCGTTAATGGATAAATTTCGGGGCATTGTAGTGTAAATTAATTAGGAAAATACCTACGGAAAATGCCGAGAAAATATTTGACATGAATTGTCAAGTGATATATTCTTTTTCAGTAAAAGAGTTTTCGTAACAAAATAGTTTCTACTTTGAAGTGACCTACTTAAATTTTAAATTTATGAAATATTGTATATTGCATTTGTTGTTGCAAATTATTATCTAATGCATAGGCTGCAAAGGTCAAAATAACATTTGTGCTCTACGACAACACGTCAGCATTGTGCATCTCTTTTATTGTTTGTATGCAATTCTAAGATTCGCCTTTAGCGATGCTTTAAAGACACGGGAAATGTTGTCAAAACTGGTAGACCACTTTCTTGGCCGACCGTACATTGAATATTTTGTAAAAAGAATACTTGAGGTGTGATCTACAATCGATATCGAAGCCAAAAATATAGTTTTTAGAATTTGTGTCTGTTTGTATGTCCGGGCTAAACTTAAAAAGAACTGCATGGAATTACTTAAAATTTTGCATGAATATTACTAAGAGGTTGGGTCAACACATAGGCTACGGAAGCCACATGGACGAAGTTGCGGGCAAAAGCTAGTGAATAATATAATTAAAAATATGTAAATAAAATTCTTACTTGTGATTGATTGTCGTTCTCAGAATCCATCAAGGTTTTCCAATTGTTTAAATTTTTAATAAAATTTACTCTATGTCCAATTGGTGGTATGAGCTCGGCAGCAGCTCATCATAATGTGATTTTCTGAAAAGCAGTCCATCGTAATGTGATTTTCTGAAATTAAAAATACATAATAATAAAAAAATATATAGATTAGTCAGCCCGGTACCTAATATCTAAAAAAGAGGTAAGGGTTTACTTTTCCCATCTACATCTCACAACATAACATTTTGTATATCTACAAAGTTATGTACTCATACGCAGCTCTGGGAGAAAAAGAAAAACAGCTGCCATCATTCCCGTGCAAGATTCTAAATCAGAGTATCAGACTGAAGGGAAAGGACATTTTAAAGTACTCTATTGAGGCGACGGGCGGATGAGGCTCTAGGCAAATTATGATGCATGAACACTAGTGCCTCTGCTTTTTCTGGCAAAAGACGGTTTCTCTTTTTTTTTCATACAAATTACCAGCCTCAGAAAACAATCGTTCAGAGTAAACAGAACTGTCGCGACGATTTAATAAGGGGGGGGGGGTTCCTAATCGATTCTACGTATCGAGATGGCAACTCATCCCTTCGTTCTGTCGCACTGGCAAAGGATTGGGGAAAAAATTGATGATGATGATCAGAAAGGTGTTATGTTCTGTTTTGTTAACTAATTACTTTATATCAAACCATTATATTTAACTCCAACAACGATAAGACACGTTATGATTGCTTCGCTTATGCTGAATTTCCATTGTCGCGAATAAAGCGCCTGTGTTCAGTTGAAACCCATAGAATCTCAATTCATCAAATCGTAGATACACGCAAGCCACGATATCAATGAAACGAGATAATATACGAGTCCCGTTTAGTATGATAATGAACTAATATGAATTTACCTTACGAAATGTGTGATTATAATTGAAGGATATAACCTACAGGAGGTACGAAGTATATGATTATGGCAGAATTTCTTACCCAGTCAATCCTCGAGGCCGCTCGCTTATTGCTAGAAGGCCAAGGCTCATCTACTCGTCGAGCGACTTGACCGCCACTCCACTGGAAACCGGTCATCGAGAGTCGGTTCGCTCGCATCTAGAATTGTATGGCACTGACTTCACACGTCTACACGTGTGAAGTCAGGGCCGTTCGACTAACCATACAGTCGAAGTGAGTTCCCTAGTTTAACACAGAATTTGTACAATATGCATTGAAACACGTCAAATGAAATACATAGGTAGCTTCACAATCGTTCATCACAGATTATAATTTAATTATGCCACTATTACAAACCACCCTCTCTGAGGGAGAGCCTTCGTCAATTTATGAATAATATAGTCTCCTCTCCCCGAGAGCGAGCTTTACCAAGGTTTCATCATGTAGTCTCCTCTCCCCGAGAGCGAGCCTTACCGAAGTATCAATCATGTAGTCTCCTCTCCCCGAGAGCGAGCTTTACCAAAGTATCCATCATGTGGTCTCCTCTCCCCGAGAGCGAGCCTTACCAAAGTACCAATCATGTAGTCTGCTCTCCCCGAGAGCGAGCTTTATCAACTATCCATCATGTAGTCTCCTCTCCCCGAGAGCGGGCCTTACCAAAGTATTCATCATGTAGTCTCCTCTCCCCGATAGCGAACTTTACCAAGTAGCCATCATGTAGTCTTCTCTCCCCGAGAGCGAGCCTTACCAAGTATCAATATCTTCAAGCCGCCCACTAGCCACATGTCCTCAACTTCTCCAAAGTCGCAGATCATATCATAACCAACTATGATCACGTGATCCATACTAATTTGCCAACCCGTCAACTAGCCGCGTTCCTCGGCCAGTCTGACTTTTCAGATGTAGTAGAAATCACTTTTATACTCACTACTTACTTATAACAAAACAATAATAGGGATCTCACTAACCAAACCGCGTTCTATTTACCGTTTCCGTTCTATTTTACTTGTTTACTCCGAAGCGCCGCAGAAAAAATGGCGCGGTAAAATTCTAACTCTTATACGACAGAGGCTTTCTGAACAAACTTTTATGTTGGTAATGTAAATCATGACAGTCATATACGATTCTAATTGGCCAATTTTACTTAGGCGATTCAGAACTGAAGGTGATTGGTGCATTCAATCCTGTACTCATATTAGTTACCATTAGCAAAAAACGAAACGTAATGTTGCCTAGTTAGTTCAACCAAATTAGCCTAGTAATACTAATGTTGCTATGTCGCTAGTTACATATTATATTTAATTTGTAAATATTACCTGTTTTTCTCGCGATTCATTGCGACACTCCCGACTGGCCAGAAGTTAATGGAGAAGGATGACGAGATTTTGCGTCCACTCCTTAATCTTCTGCAAGGCACGTACAGCAACCATCCTCTTCAGTAGTTTCTCATGGTGTTGATCTACCATGGAGGTATCAGGTGATGATTCAAAGTGAGTGTCTAAAATTTGGTCATTATTATAACTTCCAAGGTCTCTTTCTATGTCAGTGTCTACGATCGAATCGTCTACGTTAATTTCTATGCTACTCTCTTCTTCAAGGGGAGTTAAATCAGCTGATGGTTGTACTTCAGCAATCTTAGGAATATGAATGTCACGATCTTCCCTTCTAAGCAATGGATTATTAACATCTGTTGAAACAGAGTCAGATTCTATGACTTCATGAAGGTTGTGTCCTTCTGGTGGGATATCCTCAATTTCTAGGGGATATAAATGAGCTATAAATCTTGTAAAAATTCTGGCTGAAGGGATCCTTGCCAGTCTCTTAGGCCTTCTCTTAAAAAGTTGGGTCCGTCAAGCCATAGTCTTAAGTCTTCTTTAGTAGCACCAGGTCTGGTAGCTACGTCCGCAGGATTCATATGTGTTGGAACGTGTCTAATCACTAGATGTTTATTTCTTTTAATTTCTATTATTCGTCTTGATACAAAAGGTGTCAGCAGTTTGTTAGATTGTAACCAATCAATAACTATTTGGCTATCGATCCATAATACTTGTGGAGAAATAGAGCATTGGAGATGTTGTTTTACATATTGTATCAAACGACTTCCTATTAATACTCCCATTAATTCAAGTTGTGGAATTTTTAGACTTGCTTGATCCTTAATTGGTACTAGCCTTGATTTGCCAATTACAAAACTTTGATTATCATCATTCTTAATATACACTACTGCTGAGTAAGCTTTAATTGAAGAATCTGTAAAACAATGAATTTGGCATACCTTCAGATTTTTAATACCACATCTAGGTAGACTGATTTGATGTATGTCCTCTAATTGTGTTAGAATCTCTTTCCACTGGTTTGTTAGGTTTTTATTCAATGTTTCGTCCCATTTTATTTTTCCAGAGATGTTGTAATAAGAGTTTTGCTGGTAATAGGAGTGGTATCAAAAATCCACATGGATCATATATTGAAGCAATAGTTTTAAGTATACCTCTTTTGGTAACTGGGTTGTTTAAATTCTTTTGTCTTATTTGTAGCGTATCTGTTACAGTGTCCCAGTCGAGTCCTAAGAGTTTTACTAGTTTTTCTGGATAATTATCACAAACATTGTTCAAGAATTCTTGAGAATTTGAACTCCAATCTCTTAAGTTCATTGATATTTCTTGAAATGCACCCTTAACTTTATGGTATAACGTAAGTGCTTCTTCCTTTGTTTTTGCCTCTGTAATTAAATTGTCTACATATATGTCGTTGGCTAATTTCTTGACTGTATCATCGTCTGAATTCTGTAGGTGGTGTTTGACTGTAGCATTAAATATGAAGGGACTAGAAACTATTCCAAATGGAAGTCTTTGGAATCTTAGATATAAAAGATTTTCCTGTGTTACTGGTTTGCTGATATCTTTTAACCACAAAAATCTCGTGACATCACGATCTTGATTTTTTAATCCAATTTGAAGAAAAGCTTTCTCTACATCTGCAGTAATGCCTATATTATGACATCTGGATTTGATTATGAGTCCTGTTAGATCTTCTAGCATGAGAGGTCCACTATAAAGACATTCATTAAAACTTTTCCTGTCCTTAATCTTTGCTGAGGCATCATAGACAATTCTTAGAGTCTTCCCTGGGGCTATTACCCCATAGTGAGATATATAATGTAATGGATGATTTACATTGCCTTGTGCAGGTATGTGTTCTATGATTGCATTCTCCAATTGATCTTTAAGTATTTGATCATAAGTTAACAGCTCTTTCGAGTTCAATCTATTCAACAGACTAACTAATCTTCCATATGCTATTCCGAAGTTTGAAGGAAGTTCTGGTGGATATTCTATCCATGGCCATGAGACAACGTACCTTCCTTGTTTAAATTCTGTATTTTCATTAAAGTTGTTGACAGCTTCTTCTTCCCGTTTAGCCGCTGGAGAGTCAGTAACTCCAATAGCTTCAAGATCCCAAAGGATCTTCAGATCACTATTGTTTTCTAGTGGTCTGTCCAATTGTTTTATTTTCATAATAGGCGCAGAATTAATGTATGTCACTACCGATAGATTTTCTATGAAATGGTTTTCTATCTGTCCGGTAACTATCCAACCGAATCGAGAGTTTACTAGAAATAAATTGTTTCTCACTTGAATTTTTTCACTCGATATCAATGAGTAGTAATAATCATTTCCAATCAAGATGTCTACACGGCTTGATAATGAGCCATCGTCTGCTAAATGGTCTATCTCCTTAGAAATTAACTCCTTGCTAATTAAGTTCTCAAAATTACAATCATGATATGGTACATTGTGAGATATCAATGGTACAACATTCACATATAAAGTTGTACACTAAATTTGTATAGTTTTTAAATTTATTTTGACAACTGGACTTTCCACTATCTTAGGTTTACTTGATCCAAATGTAAAGATTGACAAAAGATTAATTTCGATTGATTTCAAATTTAATTGATCTACTAATTCCTTAGTTATATAACTTCTTTGACTTCCTGAATCAAATAAAATTCTGCAATCAAATGATGTTTCTTCTGATTTTATTTGAGTTACAGCTGTTTGAAGAATAGTAAAAAGTCTAGAGTTAGCTATTCAACTAGATGTGTGTTCGAGTTACTTCTTTTGTTTCTCATCTTGTTTGAGTACAGCATAATGACGGAATTTCTGTTCGGGTTTTACTCCGTTTTTCCCTTTCCCAACATAATGCTGAGCAATGATTCTTTCTTTTGCAATGAAAGCATATTAATTTCTTCACGCAATTCCTTGCTAAATGATCTGTAGCAAGACATTTGAAACATCTCCTTGTCTTTCTGAGTTTGTCAGTTCTTTCTCTTTGAGTTTTATATTTGTTACAGTTATCACTGAAGTGTCCACTCATATCGCAAAATCCACACCAAGCCTTTGCTCGTTTTGGTTCTGAAAGGTTTTTGAATTGCGAGTTTGGCCTTTTGTTATATATTATGTTTCTTTCTTGACGAGGTTGTGATTTTCCTTCCTTTGTGAATTTTTCTTTCCTTATTGCCTTGTTTTTATTTAATTCACTTTGTACATTCAAAGTTTGAGTTGTGTAACTATTCCTCGATTTCTCTTCATCTCTTCTCAATCTGATTCTATTGGCCTCTTCCTTAGCTGTTATGATACCAATCAGTTGTTCTCTTATTTCCTTAACGGATCCTGTGGTAGTTTGCCTTTGTATTTCATATACAACAACAAATAAAAAATTTGGGAATGCCATTCCTCAAAACACAGAGCACAAAGTGGTGGGAGATCATTGCATCCTTTGCATCTTAGACCTGTTTCTCTTCGCAATTTTTTTTGGTACACATCTTGCATTATAGGTAATTCGATTTCTTTTTAGATCCCGCTGGAATTGGTATTTTTTCAGGTCAGTGTCCACCGTTATATATATTATTATGGGTAGATGACGGACGGATCATTTTAGGATTGTCTTTACACAACTCGTGGCCTTTTAGTAGATATGGTCGCATCAAACGCAGGACAGTTTTTTCAATCTTCTTTCCCTTCTCAGCATCATCAGTTTTTCCTTTATACATTATCATATTCAAAATATATCCACTGGCACTAGTCAACTCATAAAATTTGATTCCAAACCTTGCTTTTTTTGGTTTTATGTATTGCCTAAATGATAGGCGGCCTCTAAATAGTAATAAAGCTTCATCGAGCGATAATTCTTTTTCTGGTTTATAGCACATGCGAAAGTTTCCTGTAATCGCATCTATAAATGGTGATATTTTATTATGGCCAGTAGAATTTAAAGGTGCCATATATAAGCTAAGTAGAATCTGTTCAAATCGCCTGCCTGACATTTTAGCAATAAGAATAGGATGATAGTATAATATATCGGTGAGAGTAAATAGCTTTCGCTTCTGTGGAATGTTTACCTGGCCAATCAATAAACACAAACCAAGGAATTTCTTGATTTCTTCGCGATCTGTAGGTTTAAATGAATATAATCTGCTATTCCTAGTTTTAGGCCTATTAGTTTTACATAGCTCTTGACCTATTGGTACATTCCACTACAAAATCAATTACTTCTTCTGGAAAAAGATAGTTAAATACATCCAGAACCGATGTATTTTCATTAATAGGGAACTGAACGCCTACAGAGCTCTCATCAAAATTAAATTCAGGTATGGGAACGGTGGTCGAATTCCAATCTGATTCAGAAGATAGAGTAGGTAAGCTCACCGGTGACGTACCTTGTTGAGGGTGAGGAAGCGACTCTCGAATGACAGCTTCATCAGATAAGGCTGCTTGCATCAAATCTTCGCAAGGTGGTCGAGTAGATTCCCGAGCTACAACTTCATCGGGTATTATCTCCGGTA